CCCTGCTGCAGCGCCCCCAGTGGCAGCTCAGGCTCTGGCTGTGAGCTCCAGGACGGCATCCCTGCATCCCCCAGCCTGATGGGCTGTGGGCAGGTGCTTGGGGAACCGGGAGAAGGTAACAGCAGTCATGATGATAAACCTTAGGGACCGCCGATCTGGGGTGGAGGAGGAGGGGGGGCAGAGAAAATTCCAAGCTCCTAGAGCACATCCCAGGTTCGTGGTATACCGTGTCCTATCTTCCAGTTACAAAGCTGGGTGGCCTTCCTCCCGCCTCCAGCCCGGGCCTTGCCCTCACTGCAGAGGTGCTCAACCACTGACAGCCCCGCCAGTCTCCTGACTCCCTGCCCCAGGGTCCTGTGATGCTTTATACCTGCCTCCTTGAACCCTCTCCTCTGCTGGCCCAGCTGATTTCCCCCACCTTTCTCTCCCAGCACCTCCAGAGTGGCAGGCTGGGGGTAGAGTTTCAGTTCCAGGTTGCAGATGGGGGACGCTGAGGCCCACAGAAGGGTCCAGATCCCAGAGCTGGCGTGACAGACCTGGCAGCGCTAGGCCTCGGGAAAGAGAGGGGCCTCTCTCAGCCTACATTCAAACCTAGGACTACCTTCACTCGAGGCCTCCTGGGAGGCTGAGAGGGTCCAGGCACCATCGTTTTGGGAGGTTTCCGTATATTAAACACAGGAACAAAATTGGCTGCAAGCCTCAAGATAGGTTTCAATGTTATGTCTCAAGAATTGATGTTTATTTATTTTATTCTTTTTTGAGGGGGGACTTAATTAGGTTATTCATTCATTTATTTATTTTTTTAATGGAGATACATACTAGGGATTGAACCCAGGACCTCGTGCATGCTAGGCATGCATTCTACCACTGAACTATACCCTCCCCCGGAGACCTGATGTTTAGATGCACACAGCACCATATAACTGGCTGTACGTGCACACACATCCAAGGGCAGCCCTGAAAGGGGCCCTCGGGAGGCGGAGGGGGGCGGTTAGCGGGCTGTGGGGTGGATGCGCTGCCCACAGGCACTGCGGCCTGGGTGGGCCAAACCAGATGTGAGCTTCAGCCTCCCCTCCCAACCAGCTCCAGCTTTCTGCCTCCCCAGGGTGTTGGGTATTCTGTCTGCAGCCCCCTGCCACCACGCCCACTGCCCCCACTACCACCCCACACCAAGCCTGCTCTCTGCTGGGTTAGGCAGAGGGGAGAGGGAATGGAGAGCTCACCCCAGGGGCAGGAGACCTGACCCGCCTGGGCCAAAGCTCTCAGCCTGTTTTCTTATCTTTCCTGGGGATTTGGACTAATTCTCCTACTTCGTTCCTTTAATATATGTTTGCTGATCACTTATTTTGTGCTAATCCTGAGCTAAGTACTGTGGATACCTCTGTGGACAAGAGAGATTCATCATTTAGTGGGGGAAACAGACACGAATCCAATAGACTCAGTAATACAGGCTATGATGATGGAACTACAGACAGTTTAGTGAAAAGGCTCTAACCCAGATATCAGGGAAGGCTTCCTGGAGGAAGTGGCACGACTGAATTGAAAGCAAAAGCCAGGGCAGGTGAGAGTGAGTGGTAGGAAGGGCAGAGTAAGGAGGCAGAGGGAACAGTGCATGGGCTGGATTGTGTGAGAGGGAGAGAGAGGAAGGACTTTCTGGAGGAGGGAAGAGAACCTAAGTGTAGCAGAGGCCAGCGGGTAGCAAGCAGTCTGGGCAGGGCCCTGTCTCAGCAGGGCTTTGCAGTACCTGAGAACCGACAGAATTCATCCTAGAATGTCCCAACTGCCAGGTGGAGGGAACCCAATGAGTGCTACCCACGAGAAACAGCAGGGATTAAGCTGAGGTTAGAAGAAAATCTCAGCCTGGATTTCAGACCCCACCTGGAATGGACTGACCAGAGGCGGGAATGGAGACCCAGAAGCTAGGCTCTGAGGAGGTACGATGGGTGGCGCTGGCCCCAAAGTGGATAGTGAGTAGAAAGCATGTGTGACCCATTCTCCTAGAAGGCCTTTTCTTTCCCCATCTGGGTCACACTCCTCCATCCCTCAGGACCCAGTCTAAATGTTCCCTCTACTGTGAAGACTTCCAGAACATTCCCTTATTCCTGCACCCCACCCCCGCCCGGCCCCCTCTATGATTTCACACACAGTTCACCTATGTCTTCGAAAACAGCCATCTTTCACTGAATGCCTACTGTGTGCCAGGTAGTTGCTGAGCACTTTGTCTCAGAGAGAGAAATAGCTTGCCTGGGTCTCACAGCATGGAAGAGGCAGGGCTGGGTTAGGGGCCCAGGACCACCTACCTGACTCCACCCCAGGCTTGTGCTCCTGGCAGGATGGGGGCCATCTCCATCCCTTTTCCTCTCCTCCGCTCCTCCATCTGTCAGATCTCAGCTCAGCTGTTCCCTCCTCCAGGAGGCCCTCCCGTGGACGCTGTCCTCCCAGTCAGTCAGTCAGTGCCTCCTCCACTCCCCATATGGTTCTCCATTCCCTCGTTTCACTTCCTTCACTACTGCAATTACTTCCTTCATTGTTTACATGGTTATGGATCCTCCGCGACTTCACTCTCAGCTGAGGTCCCCGGGAGGCAGGGGCTGTGTGTCTGCCTTAGCACAGCATCTCTGTGTTGAAAAGGATTTGGTTGTGCTTCACACAGGGAAGTCTTCAAACAATAGTGGTTTAAATAAGAAAAGTGTCAATTTCTTGCTGAAGTGAATACAGGCAGTCAGGGCTGGTATGAGAGTCCATGGCCACTGGGGACCCAGGCTCCTACTGCCTTGTTGCTCTGCCATCCGCAATATGCAGCTGCAACCTCACAGTGCACAATGGCTGCTCCAGCTCCAGCCTCCACGCTCACATTCTAATTCCAGAAAGGAGAAAAAAAGGGAGGCGGTGTCCCAGTTGTCCTTTAAGGAAACTCCCAGGAAGTGAGCCCAGGTATTTTTGCCAACATCCCATTGGCCAAAACTTGGTCACATGACCAGATCTAGCTGCAAGGGAAGCTGAGAAGTGTAGTCTCTAGGCCAGGCGGCCATGTGCCCAGCTAAGGATGGGAGTTACTATTTTTATGGAAGAGGAGAAAAGAGACCTAGCAGCCTGTGTCACCATGCCCATCTCCTGGCTTATAACAGTAATAATAATGATAATGGGCATAATGACATGTATTTACTACTTTACTTTGCAGGCATTTGATAATCCCCGTAATAATCATCAAGGCAGTGAAACTGAGGAACAGTATTGGCCAAATCACCTGATCAAGGCCATCTAGCTGGTAAGGAGTGGGTCTGGGATTTGAACCTAGGGCCATCTGACTCCAGAGCTGATACATCTCTGCTTCTCTGTAGTGCCTGCTAAATTGCTGCAGAAGGAATTTGTGATGTGACCGAATTTGCTCATCTCTGTGTGCCCCACAAGTGGCTGGGCACCCCCCAATGTGAGGTCCCCCCTCAGTGTGGATTCCCCACTCAGTGTGAGCTCCACCCTCTTGGACTGTCTCAGGGCCTGGGCTGTGGCCTCCAGGACTGAGCCTGGCCTGATGCGAGGGGACTCAGAGAGGTCAGCTCCTGGACGGAGCAGGGGATTTTGCCACTGAGGGGGAAGGATGGGCAGGGATCCACTGGATCCACTTACAGAGGAAACACTCACTGTCTGCCCTCCTCCTGACCTCCTTCTTCTGCAGGAGCCCCAGAGAGGAGCAAAGTAAAGGAACCTGCGACCCTGAGCTGGGGTGATGGAGGGTGCCAGAGAGCCAAGGCAGAGGAGGGAAGTGGTGGCAGCCCCTAGCCTCCTTCAAAAACTGGGACTAAATAAGTGTGAAAAAGAAGATCTTTCCAGGGCAGCATGATGCTGGGGTGGCCCTGCCCAAGCCTCTGGCTCTTGAGGTGTGCTGACCCTGGGGGAGCAGGCAGGAGAGTCTGGGGGTGGGCTAGGCTCTTGCCTGGCCCTGCAGGAGCCAGGATATGTTGCCTCACCAGGAATTCTCCAGCATCTCCCTTGGGTGGTGGCTGCCTCCCCCTGGGGCATCTCTGCCAAGGAGCTCTTCCTGGGGACTTTTTCCTACTCAGTCTGGGTTTGGTGCAGAGAGAGGAGGCCCTGGAAAGGCCCAGACTCCAGCCTTGAGGCGCCATCCCTCAGGGAGAGAGGCCCGGACAACCAGAGAGCCCCATTCTCTCCCCAACCAGCCCCACCTGAACACCAGTCACCCACCTACCGGGCCCCTGACAGATTCCCTGCAGGCCTCCCAGCTGCGCTTCTGGCCCTGCTTCTCCAAGTACCCAAAGTCCCAATTCTTCTCCCTACAGCAGGAGGTCATGACTTTTCTGTGCCATGGACCACTGGGGCATTTGGTGACCCCTCCACACCCTGTCTTGTTTGTAAATGTATCACAAATACATAGGATTATACTGGAAGCCAGTTGATTTGAAATACAGCTATCAAGATATTTTTAAAAGCCACAGTTGTGATGAAATGATAAATGTGCTTCTCTATTAACCATTAAGACTCGGCAGCGGGTCTAAAATGGAGGAGGGATGAGTGAGATTTTGAGAAGTCTGCATCAACTTTGATGTGATCTGAAGATACCAGCAATTTCTACTGGGAACAAAGCTGCAGGTACTGCTGAATACAGGGCGTGCTGGGTATGTTCATCACTGAAGGAAATGCTAAACTGGATATGGTTACAGGGTAGGGAAATTGAAGATGTAATCTTTTTCCCATCCAAGTTCATGAACACCCTGAATTCTACCCATGTCATACCCCAGTTTAAGGAATCCTACTGTGCTCTAATCATCGGGGTGCAGACATTATACTCACCAAGCATGGCGTTCTGGGAGGGCAGGAAAAAGGCTTGGGGCCGGCGTGGGGGCGGGGCCAGTCACTAAGGGGAGGAGCCCTAGACTCCAGGTAGAATCACCTGACGCCAATAACCAATGAAATGTGGGGATTGAAGGAGAAGGCGGAGCCAGCTCACTTCCTGGTTTTTCCCGCTTGGGTCGCGGGTTCCTTAACTTTCCTCCCCTCTGGGGTTCCTGCAGAAGCAGCGGGTCAGGAGGAAGGCAGACAGTGAGTGTATCCGCCGGAAGTGGATCCAGCTGGGAGAGAAAACGTGTTAGTCGGGTCCCACTTAGTTATGCTCTGGTAACAACCAACCTCCATATCGCGGCGGTCTCGCAACCACAAAGCTCTGCCTCTTGCTCACGTTAGAGGTCAGCTGAGCGGCAGGAGGGCAGCAGCTCCGCTGTGTGTCACCTTCTCTCCAGGATCCCGGTGGAGACATTGCTGTTTTCATGGTAAGTGAAGGCCTATGTCTGGCTACTTCGCAGGTTTGGACTGTTCTTAATATGGAGTACCTGCGCCACCAGCTGCGCTGAATCCCCACGTAACCCAGGAGGAGGGCTCCAAGATTATCTCCATCTTCCCAATGGGCCCCTGGGGCCCAGAGAGGGAGTGGGACTCCCCACAGGTGGCCCAGCAGGGACATGGCAGAGTAGGGACTCTCCGCTCCAAGCTCCCTGGAATGCCCTTGGGCACAGGTCCTAGAACCCCCCTCCTGTTCGCCGCCGCCAGGAAAGAGGTCCAGAGCCTGGTTGGGCCCAGCTAATTGGCTCCTGGCACCATTCCCCCAGAGCTGGAGGCACCAGTCGGGCCTAGGGGAATTCGTACAGGCCTTACGGGTCCCCACCCATTCGAACTTCAGCTCCTCCTTAGCCGTCTCTTACCCCTGGCAAGGGAGGAGGGGTGGGGCTTGGACCAGAGCCCAGAGAGCCTGAGACCTCAGGGGCATCCTGGCCCCTTCCCAGGAAGCCTGGACAGGACTCCCTGTCTTCTAGGCAGCAGTGGTGGACCCGGGCCTAACCCGGGCGGTGTGTGGAGGGTGGGGGAGGAAGGATGTGGGAGAAGCACTGCCAAGCCCCCCGGGGGTTTACAGTCAGGCTGGTGGGGGTGGGCCCAGTGTAATCACAAGATAAGCAGGAAGGTCAGAGTTAGAAAGAGAGGCTGGAAGGTGCTGTGCTCCTGGCTTTGAAAAAGGAGGATGGGGCCACAAACCAAGGAATGTGGGCAGCCTCAAGAAGCTGAACAAAGCAAGGAAACAGATTGTCCCCTAGACCCACAGAAGGAACACAGCCCTGCTGAGACTCTGACTTTGGGCTTCTGACTGCCAGACTCTTAGGAGAACAAATTTGTGCTGTTTAAACCACGAACTTTGTGGTTATTTGTCGCAGCAGCAACAAGAAACCGGTCCAGAGGGGTTGCACCAGCTTTTCTCCCAGGTCTTAGCCAGCCCTGCTGTTCCAGAAAGAAGGGCTCCCCTCAGCTGCTGTCTGCCGCTGCCTCTCTTCACCAGGGGTCCTCAGAGTGTGGTGGTCACAAGCTCAGCCTGGAGACGGGGTCCTGGGCGCCGCTTCTGCTGAGCCAACATGTGAGTCTCTGGACAAGACTCTGCACCTCTCCGAGCCTCAATTTCCTCTCCTGTAAAATGCGGAGAGTAGGTAGAACTTACCTGTAGGGCCAGACCGCATGCTGTGTTTGTGAAGAGCTCAGCACAGGGCCAGGCACATAGGTGTATCCCTGCGTGTGTCCTGGGTGGGTGCGTGGGTGGGGGCAGGTATGCACATACAAATGCGCATGCGCAGGTGTGCGTGTGTGCTGGGACCTGTGTTCAGGCGTGTATGCAGCCTGGATGAGCATTCTGAAACTCACCTTTGACCTGGCACTCCCCTGCTCACAGCCCCCTGTAGCCTCAGGGAGAAATTCAAATCTTCACCATAGCCTACAGGGCCCAGCACCTTCTAGCTCTTGCAGCATCTCAGCTTCCCCAACTCCCCTACTTGTACCCTCAGATCCAGCCCTGCCTGCCTCCTCTCTATCCCTTAAGTGGGTCATGTTCCTGTGGGAGTCCAGGCCTTCACCCATGCTGTTCCCTCTGTCTGGAACACTTTTCCCTTTTCCTCCTCACTGACTAGCTCCTACTCATTCTTTGGTAAGCTATCACCTCCTCCAGGAAGCCTTCCCTGACTGCTACCCCCACTGGGATGATTATCCTCCCCTTTGACCTAGTGGCACCTCCCTCCCATGTGCTCCCCCAGTCTCAGCACTAACCACAAGGTGCAGTAATCCCTCGTGACCATCCTTCTTCCCTCTGAGGTCCTGGTCTGAGGACAGGAACCTAGAATGCCTTGCTGTGCCCTGTCACCAGCACCCAGCACGGTGTCTAGCCCAGAGCAGATGCTCAGAACTTTGTTGAATGAATGAATGAATAAATGAATGAGTGCATATGTCTGGGTGCATGAGCAAGGAGGCTGCGATCACGTGCACATGCATGCTTGCTCGATGTAGGAGGGGTGTGCAGCACGTGTGTTCCTGTAGTTGGTGATCGGGGATGGTGGTGGAGCCAAGACTGTGCCCTGGAGTGGGGCTGGTGCAGGGGAAGGCCAGAGGGCTCCACTCCCCAAGCTAGTCCCCTCTACCTTGCATAGACAGTGGACTCAGACTTGTAGAGGTTGCCTTGCTGTTGGAGGGGGAGGGGAGAGTAGAGAGGGGGAGAAGGAAGGCGGATGCCTGCAGCCTTCAATGCCTGACACATTCTGCTCCTTCCTTCCTCCCTGACCTCCCCATGACCTCCATCCCCCAGGCCGGGCCCCTCCACTGAATGGGGGAAGGGGTAGAGTCCTCCCAGTGTCCCCAGGGGACACCAAGCCAAGCGTTACTTCTCCAGGCAACCCACCCCACCCCCGCACCATCCTCCCAGCTCTGGCCTGGGTCCTGGGGAGGAGGACAAGCTGGGGTAGTGGTGGGGGGGTTGGTCTGGTCCCTTAGCCCGGACAGCCTGCCCTGTCCCTCACTCATGCCTGGCTGAGGGAGGTTGTGCCACCTCTCTGACCCTTAATCCTGCCATCTGTAAAATGGTACCACAACACTTCCTTGTAGCCTTGTAGCAATTAATGAGATCATATTCACAGGTTTGACACAGTGTCTGCGATGGAAAATGCTCAGTAAGTATAATTTTGTCATCATCACCCCATGCCTACCCTCCCTCCATCCCTGTAGCCGTCCTGCACTGAGAACCATGCAGGTTTGGCCCCAGCGTATCCTTGATGCAGTGGGCCAGGTCTGTCTTGCTCATTTTTCTGTCCCCAGCCCTTAGCACAGTGTCTGGCACCTAGTAGGTGCTCAAAAACTGTTTGTTAAATGAACGAACCAGGAGACTCACTTGGGGGTAAAGCACTTCCTCTCTCACGTGTAAAACTGTGTGTCCACAAACCAAGAATCTCCAAGGTCCCTCCCGGTTTGAAATCAGGGCTGGGTAATATTGTCGCTGCTGCGCTGAGTCTTGGGTTTTGTTTTTTGTTTGTTTGTTTTGTGTTTTAATATTCACACCAGCTAACATATCCCCAAGTCCTCTCACCTGGACACACCGCCAGCCTCGCGCTTTTTGCCTGCTTCTGTGCTTTGACCCCACTCCACCACACCCTGCTGGCGCGGGGGCTCAAAACACAGATATCTGCCAGACAAGAGTCTGTAACGTGGCTCACGGGGCCCTACCCACCCCAGCCCTTGGGAGCCTTTCCAGCCTCATCTGAATCCTCCACCGGCTCCATTTCATGGGCCCTGTCCCTGCCGCTTCTCTCCGTGTCCCTCCCTGTACAGGTCCTTTGAATAACACATGCCGTTCCCTCAAGCTGCCATGCTGTTCCCTTCCTCTTTAGCTGGGTTACTCCCCCTCATTCTTCAGATCTCCGCTCATGGGCCACCCCCTCCGGGAAGCCCTCCGTAACCTCTCCTTAGACTGGGTCAAATCATCCCATTATTGACCGCCTTTCCCTCCCAGCGTTTGTTGTGATTAGAAAGTTCCAGCTGCCTGTAGGATCATTGCGTGTTTCCCCCATTAGATGATGTGCTATGGGAGGTCAAGCCTGGCCTGGCTCCGCCTTCCATGGCTACAACACGGCAAAGAGCCAGGCACATAGGAGGTGCCTGAAAGGTTGGCCTGTGTCAGCATCCCCTCCCCACAGAGTGGGAGTCTTTGAGGGTCTCTGCAGAGCATCCTCATGCCCGAGGGTCAGGCAGCCACATGGGAGGGAGCATGGGCTGGGTGGAGGTTCGTGCTTGTCCTTCGAGGAGTTTGGAGCGCCCACGGGGAGAAGATCAGGGCAGTGGCGGGGAGGGGAATGACCTCTGGGTGCACATGCCTGGTCCCGCCCTCTGCCCCGCATCACAGCCTGCTCTCACAGAAGGGCCTGCATCAGCCACAACACTTTGGGATTAATTCCATTTTTTGCATTTGGCCTCTGCTGGGGAGTGCTGGGTCTTGGGACTAGGGATGAATCCCAGCCCCACCACTGCACTTGCTGTGCATCCTTAGGCAGAGCCCTACCCCTCTCTGGGCCTTGGTTCCTCATATAGAAAATGGAGATGCTACTAGTCCCTGCTGCAGGGGATAGGAGTCAGTGAGATCACCCAGGCAACTGGAACACAGGGAGCAATGGGGGCATGGTTTTCAGAGAGTGTCCCAAAGCCCCTCTGCACTGGTCTGCAGCAAGCATTAAGGAAGGTGGTAGAGAGAGCCCGAGAGCGGCTGTCAAAAGGGGATGAGCACTGAGTGTGTGTGTGTGTGTGTGTGTGTGTTTAAAGCTGCTGGAGGAGAGACTTCAGAGGAGAGGAAGGAGGGAATCAGCTGGCAGAGCTCAGCGCTGCAGCAACAGCTGAGCCAGAGGCCCAGAGGTGGGAGCTAGAGGGAGCCTCCCAAGGCCAGTGCTGTCAAAGCTGGAGAAGGAGGGGTGGGCCTGGCTGGAGGGAGGGGCTTCCCAGACCTGGGAGAGGAGCTGGGGATGCCGGGCCAGGGGGTCTGAAGACTGACTGCACTCCTAGCATTCCTAGCATGGAGCGCCTGCACTCGGCTGCCCAAAGACCCTGTTTGCATTTGGGCTCTGCTGCTCACTAGCTGTGTGACCCTGGGTGAGTCCTTGCCTCTCAAAGCCTCCGCCTCTTTGGTTGTAGAATGGGGGTGATAACAGAACACCGTGTGTATCTCTGAGCCGCCATGACAACACACCACAGACCCAGTGGCTTAAACAACAGAAATTTATTTTCTCACAGTTCTGGAGACTGGAAACCCAAGAGCAAGTCATTGGCAGAGTTGGTTCCTCTGAGGCCTCTGTCTCCTTGGTTTGTAATTGTAGATGTCTGTGTCTTCATGTGGTCCTTCCTGTGTGTGTGTCTGGGTCCTAATTTCCTCTTGTTAGAGGGATACCAGTCCTTGGATTAGGGCCCACCCTGATGACCTCATTTGAACTTAATTACCTCTTTAAAGACCCTGTGTTCAAACGCAGTCACCTCTAAGGTACTGGGGGTTTGGACTTCAACCTGTAAACTTCGGGGCGGGGGTAGGGACATAGTTCAGCCCGTAACACCTGTTTGGTCTGGGTTCCCCCAGAGCAGGCTAAAATAAAGGCTGAAATACATGTCTGGGAGTATAGACGCAGGGACAAGAGCAAGGGATGGGGGAGAGGGGAGAGTGAAACAGGATAGGACAGAGAGCCAGCACCGACTCGCATCCCTGAGTTCACCGTTACGGCGTCCGGGTACCCAAAAGTCAGTTCCTGGTGGGGGAGGGGTACCCCATACGGGGAATCAGAGATGTCCCAGGGCTGGTCCCTGGCATGAGGGCTCCACAGTGCTCAGAGGGCAGTCACAGCTTTGAGTTCAGTGGGACCCATTCTGTGCCCAATGGCACCCTCCCCCACACCAGTCCCAGGTAACCAGGACCTCTTATGTGACAATGTCTTAAGTTGCAGGGAGGAGAAGTATAAATCTTCAGGCGAGGCACTGGAAGTGATGGAGGGGCCGCAATCCTATTTCCACAGCTTGTTCCTGGACTGTGTGTCCTTGTTAGGGGTACCATTGACTGGCTGTGGGTTCTGGGCACCAGGTGTCACACGAGCCAGATGCCCCAGCATTCCATCAGGCCTGTTGCTCTAGGGTCAGACCAGTGGCCGCTGTGCTGCATCCACTGTGCTCTTTCCTTGCCATAAAGTGTGGCTCTTGGCCCCAGGCCCAGGTGGACTGGGATCTCACGTCTCCAAGTCAAAAATTCTGTAAGGCCTTGGGTGTGGTCATGCTGTGGTGTCCTGCCAGGTGGCTCAGCATCGTCACTGTGGCCAAGAAACGTGGCAGGGCCTGGAAGACTGAAGGGTGCAGAAGAGGTGTTGCCCACCTCCTCAAAGGCCTCAGTGGGTGGGTCCAGCACAGTGTCTGGCCTGCGGGGCTCCTACTGAACTGCCGAGATGCCCATCTTCCAGATAGGGACCCTGAGGCTCAGCCTGCACCAGAGCACAGGGCTCGTGGGCAACAGCTGGGCTGGGACCGAGGCCTTACAAACCCTGTGCTCTCAGCCGCAAGGGAGGCTGCCCTGCCTGCCCTCACAGCTGACTGACGGAGCGCAAGGCTCTAGAAAGGAGGCCTGGCCCCTGCCTGGGCTGGCTCAGGGGCTAGTGTGGAGGCTGAGGTCACCCTGATGACCTCCCCGGGCATCAGCTGCCACTGGGTGTGGGCAAAGGGGCAGCCAAAGCCACCAACTGAGGGAAAGGTAAGGACTTAGTCCTCACCCCATGGCCTGGTTTCTCCGCAGGATCCTCAGATCTGCAACTTTGAGGCTTGGAACAGGCACAACCTCCCGGCTGTGGGACCCTGGGTGAGTCCTGGTCTCTGTTTCCTCATCTTGCCTCACGGGGACTGCAGGACTGGATGGACGACATACTGGGAGCCAGGCCCTCAACATGGTTTTTGTTAGCCCAGCCAAGGCACAGAGGGGCCACCAGGTGGGTCTGAGTTCTACCTTGACTCCCAATCCAGTGCTCCTTCGACCACTCCTCAAGAGAAAGTGTGGGGGTCGTGGGAAGAGGGAGAGGATGGAAGAGGCAGGGACCTCATGCCCAGCCCCCTCCATAGTGCCTTGCACACAGTAGGTGCTTACTAAATACATGCTGAATGTCTGGGTGGGTGGATGGATGGACAAACGGACAAACGGGTGGGTGTGGCCTAGCTCTGTGTGTTCCAGATCCCAGCCACCCAGCCCAGCCCTTCCTGCCTCTGCTAACCTCATTTGGTTGCTAGCAGACTTTCATTTCTGCCAAGTCACTGCTCTCTACCCCGTGACGGGGCTGGCTGTGCCAGGAATTTGGAGGGAAGAAGACTGACAGACCCTGAGAACTTCACCACTAGCTCCATTTTCAAGATGAGGAAACTGGGGCAGGGGGAGATTCCTGAGGTTTGTTCAGCCCCAGAACGCCTCACCCCCCCAGCTGCCTTGGGCCCCCACCCTCATGGGGAAGCCTTAGGACCCCTCTGTCAGATCTGGGCATCTGGCTGGGGGCAGGGCAGGGGGAGTCTGGTCAGCAGATGGAGTTCCCTGAGTCATTCCCAGGCCTCCCAGAGATGTCCTAACAACCCACGTCATTCCAAGGAAGCTCCAGCTGACCTCTGAGAGGCACAGCTGGGCTCCCCTTCCCACTCTGATCCAGCCTATGGGCTCCCCCCACTGCTCCCTCCCTCACGTCCCTCCCTCCTCTGGCCTCTCTCTCTCACCTCAGGACTCAGGAGCCCACCTCTGACCCCTACATGCACTGTGGTCTTGGGCAGGCCCCTGCCTGTCTCTGAGCCTCAGCGGCTCAGCGGGGACAGCCGACTGCCTGCGTCCCTTCTGACCTTGACCCTGCAGGCCTCCTGGCCATCAGAGCTCTGTCCTCCCTTCTCCCTCCATCTACACTCCCCCTTTCTCTCTGGACTCTCTCCAGGCCCCAGTGTGGCCTCCTCAACCCACCTTGCCTTCTCCATTCTCTGTTCTTCCTCCTGCTGCCTACCCTCCTCAGAGAACGCCAAGTCTGCAGCTTTCCCTGACCTTGAAGAGACAGCAGGGTGGGAGCCAGCAGCTCGAGCTTGGCAAAGGGGCCTCTGGCAAAGAAGCCCTGTTCAGTTGGTCCTGGGGGCTGCACCGTCCTTGCAGCGCCCCCAACACACACCCTATCCCACGTGCCCTAGTTTACTTTCCTCTATTGCTTTTCTCATCTTCTCACTTCATTGATGTATTATTGTCCATCCCCTTGGTAGAAGGTCAGTTCCATAAGGGCAGGGATTTTTGTCTACTGTCATCATTGCTCTGTTCCCAACGCCCAGAACAGTGCCTAGCGCACAGCAGGTGCTCAGTGAGTAACTGATGAAGATTTCCTCCACTCTCCGATGACAACCACCATTTATGGAGCGAGTACTTGTGCAACGCCCTTCCAACACCCCCGCCCCCCGCGCGCCTCCGATCAACAGCCCTTTGTGCCCAGGACTATGCCGGGCCCCTTTGGGAAGATGGGGAAACTGAGAATCAAGCAGGAAGAGTTCAAAGGGAAGAAGGAGTCCGAGGTCACACAGTGGTAGCTGGTAGAGACCGGATTCGAACCCACGCATCCAGACCACGGCGCCTGCGCTCTCAGGCGGGGGACGCTTGCATCCCGCAACGGGAAAGCCGAGACGGCCGGCTCAATCCAAACGCCAGGCCTCCGGCCACGCCCCTACTTGGGAACCGAGAAACTGAGGCACCCTGGCTTCCTCGGATTCCCTGGAAGTCTCCTTCCCAAACCTGTCAATCCGGGAACCAGCCCGCGCCCCCCATCCCTCTCCTCGGCCCGAGACGGAGCTTCGCCCGCGCCCACCGGGAGCCGGGGAGGGAGAGAAAAATGAGTTTTCCTGCCGCCCGGTGGCGGTGTCAATTGATCGGGCGCGGGCGGGGGCCGCGCGCCGGGCTGGGGGCCTTGCTCGCAGCTGCCGGCGCACAATTATCGGGAAAAAACTGGGGCGGCTGCTGCGGTGAAATTAGTTATCGATCCCTCGGCGGGGCCGCGGGGCCGCGCTCGGCGCTGACGGCTGCAGACCCGGGCCGGGCCCGCCGGGTGGGGTGTGGGGAGGAGGGCGCAGCGGTGGGGGCGGGCCCTCCTCTCCCCCCTCCCCTCCGCCGCCCTCCCCACCCGGCAGTCCTCCTCCTCCCCGCGCCCTCCCTGCCGCTCTGCTCTCTCCTCTCCCCTTTATCCCGCCGCGGTATCGACCCACGGCCGGCCCCGCGCGGACAGGCGCCCCCGTGCGGCCCCCGCCCTCCGCTCTGGCCGCCCCGCCCGTGGCCCTGGCGCCCGGCGCCCCGCGTGGCGCGGGGGTGCGGAGAACGCCCCCAGTGTGGGCCCTGCCCCCGGGCCAGCGCCGGCGAGGAGGAAAGACAAACCCCTGCTCGCTGTAGACCGGGGTTCGGAGCGCTCCTGCCTGCGAAAGTGCGTGGCCTGAGCCTCAGTTTCCTCACCTAAACCGGGGTAGTTCTTACGCCTTGCTTGTTGAGAGGATAAAATTAGAGGCTCCGTGAGGAGGGCCTGGGCTTGTCTCCGAGCAGGAAGCGGGGCGTTTATTTCACGATTATACCGCCAGTTCTTCCCAGCGACTCTAGGAGAGGTGTCAGAGCCCCAATTTATGGATGAGTAAACTAAGCTCAGAGAGGGGAGGTGCCTTGTCCACCTCCTACAGCCAGCTAGTGGCCCCATGACTCTAGAACCCAGCTAGCAAAGGGGAGATGGGAGGGGGGTCTTCTCATGGGTACTGGCATACTGCAGGCTTGGTGGGGGAGGTCAGGGAGGAAGAGGGGTCAGGTCAGCGCCCCCAGGCCCACTGGCTCAGGGCAGCTCGACTCTGCAGCCTCCAGAGAGGAGGGAAGGGCGAGGAGGGGGTGGGCCTCTCCTTTCCCACTACTAGGCTGTTGGTGGTGGATGGGTGGGTGGACTCTAGGCTGGAGAGCAGGGGACCTCAGCTCTAATCCTGTCCCTCTTCTCACCAGTGTGTGGCCTTGGGCAAGCCCCTGCCTCTGTCCCGAGCCTAATACAAAAAGGGGTTTGGACCTTATGTCCCCCAAGGCTCCTTCAGGCTCACCCACCTTCTCTCTGCTGCCCCTTCCCCTGCCTGCCTGCCAGCCACAGCCTCATCATCCCTCTAGCACAGCTCCGTCCAGTATCTGCTATGTGCCAGGGCATACTGAGAGCAAGATGGCCCCTTGGGGGTTCCCTCTTGGGGCAAGGTGGGTATTGAGCAGATTAGGAATAGCTGTGGTGAGTTCAGGGGACTGTGACAGGTTATGGCTGGGGGTGGGGGATTGGCCACCAGGGAGGACATCCTAAGAGCAGACATGACATTTGAGCTGCAACTGAAGGTGGAGTAGGAGGGTTCAAGGGCAGGGGGAGCAGCATGGGTTAAGGGTGAAGTCCAAATGGAATTTGGAACATTCGAGAAACTGGGAAAGGCTAGTGTGCTGGAGGGCAAGAGAAGAGGGGGAGGTCGGCAGGGTCCAGTCAGGGAGGGGTTGGGAGTGTGAGGATTAGTCCCAGTGAAGGGGAGCACGGAAGGGCTTTGAGTAGGGGGATGACAGGGTCAAGTTCATCCCTGAAGTTGGAAGCCTACAGAGGAGTCCTGGCTCTGTTCTTGGTCTCTCTGAGCCTCAGTTTCCTCCCCTGTGAAAAAGAGATAATGATCTTCATCACTGTAGGGGCTGTGGGCTTTGGAGGGGGTCAGCCCTGGGTTCATATTGTCTTGGGCGAGGTCAACAAGTGACTCAGTCAAAGGGGCAGGGTGGTATGAAACTTGGGGGCTCCCCCTCCCAAGATTTCCTGGCTCCCCAAGGGGGCTCCAAAGGTGGTGCTGAAGGTCTCCCATGCGAAAGGGGGCTCCAAAGGTGGTGCTGAAGGTCTCCCATGCGAAAGTGGGCCCTCTGCTGGCCACAGGAGCCCTGGTCTGAGGAAGAGGAGAGTGGGAGGAAGATAAAATCAAGGAGTAATTCCTGAATTCCCCGTTCCCCAGCCACAAGCCTGTCCCAGCCTCACTCACCCACGTGGGACTCCTGGCCATTCCCCAGACTGTCTGGGCCCAGGACCTGAGCTGGGCATCAGGGATGCAGTGATGAACCAGAGGGGCTGTGATCCCTGCCCTCATGGCGCCTTCAGTGTAGCGTGAATGTGCACCTGCAGGAATGAGCACCCTTTGCTGGGGTCTTCTAAGCACGGAGTATTTATGAGGACACATGCCTGTCTGCAGGTACCTCTTTGCATGCATGGAAGTTATTTGTGCACTGTGTCCACGGGCATGACTGTGCACGTGTGCATGCACTGCTGAGTCTGCAGGCACGTGTTTGAGTGTGAGTAGCTCCGTACGTGTGTGAATAACTGTGTATGTGAATGTGGGTGTACATCTGCGTAAACGTGCATCTTTGTGCATATTTGCACGTGCCTGTGTACCTCCGTTTGGACTTAGTTTTCAGTGCACATAGGTGTGTGTGGGTGAACATCTCTGAATTCTTTTAAGCGCATAGAATGGGCGTCTCTGGATGCACAGAGCTGCAGGGATGACGTGGCCATGTTTGCCTGGGCAACTGCTGTGTATTTGCATTCTGGGTGCATAATGTGTGCACGCCAGCATGCGTGGAGATGTAGTGCATATACTCACCTTCGTGGTTTCATGCTTTCTGTGTGTTTGCATGCGCACACGTGTAATCCCTCTACACACGTGCACGTCGGTGTAGGCAGCTACTCCCAAGCGCGTGCACATTTCCACGCGTGCTTACGTTTGTGCCTGTGTTTGCCTCCATTGACTTTCTGAACAACGCATGGTGCCCTGGGTGTGTGTAACCCCCACATTCATTAGGGAGCACAGCACGCTCCCGTGGGGAGGAGGGTGCTTCCCGATTGTTCAGCCGAGAGCTGGAGGACAAAGAGACTGGGGTGCGGCTTGGCTGCTGCTTACCTGGTGGAAGATGCTCAAGAGGGAGGTAGGAGCTGGCCAGCTGCCCCCTGCACCCAGCTGGGGTCCAGGGAGATGGCCTCCTCCCCACACCCCCCGGGCCTCTGAGGCTGGCAGGGGGCAGGAGACAGCAGGTGGCCTTGCCTAGCACGCTGAGGCCTCCCCTGGGCCCTCTGCCAAGAGAGGCTCTCCTGAGCCTCTGAGCTCGGAGAGGCAGGCTGCCGCCTGCCACGTCCCCGCTTGGGCCTCTCACACCTGCGCCCTGGCCTGTCTGCTCCGAACATCGGGCTCCAGGGACAGGCTGTGGGGCCTGGCTCCTCTCGACTTTTTCTCCATCCCACAGCCCTGGCTTCAAGGTTCAGGTGGGGGCTGGGCTATGGCTCTCCTCTTAGGCAGCCAGAAACTTCTGTGAAGGCAAGATTGCACAAGCACATCTTTCCTCAAGCTGCCGGCCTTGGTGGTAGTGATGGAGCCCGGTGTGCGGAAAACCAGCTTGTGCTCTCTCTCGCTCTCTCTCTCTCCCCCGCTAGGAATCTTCCTGGTTCCTAACCTAAGTCTGTGCTGCCCTTCCATCCACCACAGCTTGCTGCCCCCCCAACCCCCACCAATTCCCTCCCCACATTGTGCTTCCTGTACCCTGGTCCCTGGGGTCACCTCGTCACCCCGGCACAATGCTTCATGCTCAGAAGACTCTGAGGTCTCCCAGAGACCTCCTCTCCTCACTCAGAGTGTCCCTCCTGCACTGGCAGGACCCCCTGGCCAACATACTGGCCTCTCCCTTTCTCTATCCCGTTGTTCCCCGCGACCTTGGCTTGGCCCCTGCACCGTGGTCCAGCCTGCTCTGGTCATTGCTTGCATGACTGCGCTGTCTGAAATTCAGACATCCCTGCCTCCGCCCCACCTCCCACCCATCTAACCCTCACTCTTCTGAGAATATTTTAAGCTTGCCACCCTCTTCCAGGCCCCGTCTACCATTTTCTGTACAATATCCTGAGACAGTCCCACCCTAGGGCCAAGCCAGCCTCACCAGACTTCACCTCTGAGTGACAGCATTGCCACTTTATTTATTTTTAATGGAGGGACTGGGGATAGCACCCAGGGCCTGGTGCATGCTATGCATACGCTCTACCACTGAGCTACACCCTCCCCCCCAGCATTGGCGCTTTAGACTCATCTCTTACCAGGGCCACTCCACCTGGACACCATGCTCCTTGGGTTTCCCTGCTCTCTCTCTCTGCATGTCCCTCCTCAGGCTCCCATGCGGCTCTTCTGGCTCTGCCTCTTGATTAGCTGATAGTAGGTCCTGAAATCTGCCCCTGGCCCTCAGCTCTCTCCGGCAGTGATCTCTCCATGATCTCCTGGACTTCTAGCTCCAGTCCATTGCCTTCTGAACACCAGACCCATCACGTTTGCTGCCCTTGACACCCCCATCTGTATCCCTAGAGCCCACACGGATCCTTCCCACCCCAATTCCACCCTACCTGCCCTTCCTCCAGGCTTCCCCATCAGAGAATGGTACCCTAGCCGTGTCTCCTGGGCCAGAAGCTAGGACATCATCCTTGCCCACTCCTTCTCCCTCACTCTCCACATCCAGTCGGTCACCAAGCATGGGGTTCATCGAGCTTCTTGGATATAGTTTTCATGAAGTTTGGAAATTTTTCTCTTATATTTCTTCCAATATTTCTTCTGTTCCCCTTTCTCTTTTCCTCTGGGCCCCCAGTTATCCATCTATTAGGCAGCCTGGAGTTATCCCACAGCTGGCTGCTGTTCTTTCCACTTTTTAAACAAATTCTTCTTTCCCTGTGTTTGGTTTTGGCTAGTTTTTATTGCCTCGCCTTCATGTTCATTATCTTTCCTTCTGCCTTGTCTGACCTGCCACAAATCCCATTCAGTGTGTTTGTTCATCTCAGACTTTGTAATTTTCAACCCTTAAAAGTTAACTTGAATCTTTTTTTTATCTTCATGTCTCTAACATTTTGAAAATATGGAATACAGTTATAAAAACTGTTTCAGAATCGTTCTCTGCTAATTCTAACCTGTGTTAGTCCTGGGTTAGGTTTTTTTTGATTGACTGTTCTTTCCTTTATGGGTCATGTTTTCTTGCTTCTTTGTATGCCTGGTAATTCTTGGTGGATGCCAGACATTGTGATTTTTGGATATTTTTATATTCTTACAATCTTCTTGAATCTTACTCTGAGAAGCAGTTAAATTACTTGGGAGCCAATTGATCCTTTTGGGTCTTGCTTTATGATTTATTAGGCAGGTTTTTAGCAATGCTCAGTCTAAGGCTAATTATTTCCCAATTCTGCCCAACTCTGAGACGAGAAATTCCTCAGTGCTCTAGCCACCCACTGCCCTGTGAATTATGACTTTTCCATTCTGGCTGGTGGGAATAGGCACTACTCCCAGCCCAGTATAAGCATGAGACACAGTTCCCTCTAATCCTTTCAGATTTTTTTTTCTAAACCACTGTTTCGTGTGTATTTGTAATTTTTGGTTGTTTCAAGTGGGATAGCAGATCTGGCCTGTTACTCCATCTTGGCCAAAAGCAGAAGTCAGTTACCAAGTCTTGATGATCCTACTTCCTAGTAACTCTTGATTCTATCTGCTTCTCTCCTAGCCCCTGCCACTGATCCAGACCCCACTGCATCTTGCCCAGGGTGACACCCAGAGGCTCCCGGCTGTCTCTGCTCCATTCAGTCATTTTCTGCAACAGCAGCCGGAGCTATCTTTCCAGATGGCAATCTGACCGTGCCGCTCCCTGGTGCCAACCCTTTTGCTCCTCACTGTCTAGGAGTTAATCCCAGGCTCCTACCTGTAGCTCCAGGTTACGATTCAGCCAAGCTGACTGGACTGTGTGCGGTTCTCCGAGGGCTCATTCTTGCTCTGCTGTTGCTCCTGCCGGCAGCTCCTGCCTCCCTCTCCTCTTCTGCTCCTCCAGGTGACACCTGCTCCAGGAGGCCTCTCACCCTTTTCTCTTGCGGACCTGCCCCTTAGCACAAATTGCTCTGGATGGCTCTGTCCCCTAGGTTGGGCCTCCCGGAGAGCAAGTCCCTGGCACCTCATGCTAAGCCCTGCCTAACTTATCTAGTGAATGAATGAATGAATGAATGACGAGAAGAGAAGAGAATCACTGACAACAGGGAGGGCTGCCATAAAGGCGAGGGAGGCCAGGACTATGGCTCAAAAGATCTGTGTCCTCCTCCCAGCACTCCCCAACTTGCTGCGTGGTTTCGGGTCCTCACTGCGTGATGAATTGGTCCCCGAGGACTCCTCTGTATCACAACACTCACCTGTTTCCACAGCATCAGAGAATGAGCCACAGTCAGTTTGAACCCCATCCTCCTTGTTTGAGTGATGGCGAAATCAAGGCCCAGTTGTGGGGAGAGCTGGACCCCAGGTCACTCAGTGCGTCCGTGGCGGAGCCCAGCCTGAGGCCTGCATGCTGGCTCAGTTCTGCAGTTCTGGGCTGTGGTGAGGAGTGTGGAGAAGAAGCAGTCCCCACTCCCTGTGCCCTGGGGGAGTGGCCTTGTGGGCACTCTGGGGCCCTCCAGGGCAGAGGCACTCCGGGGCTGGGGCCAGGGCACCTCTGTGCCTGGCACTACCCTGGATTCAGAACCCACCAATAGAGGAGAGGAGGAAAAGGGTCACTTGGAAGTGGTCACACATCCAACTGGAGGAAGACCTGGGGGAAGGCTCAAGGTCAGCCTGAGGTCAGCCCCTGTCCAGCTTAATTATTCATTAACCAGGCAAGTCCAGGCACTGAGTTAATGACCAGCACAAGGCTGGGGAGGGGAGCAAATTCTTCCCCCGAGTGTGGGCATGACCTGCAAGGGCAGGGAAGCCTACAAATGAACAATTGGTGGAGAAGCTCTTCCCTCATTCGTTCATTCGTCCATTCATTCACTCGCTCACTAATTCACATCTCTGTGTGTCCATAAGTGAGCAGAAGCCTGGAGATCCAGCTGGTGGGGAGGGGGACAGAGCCGTGGAGACAAGGACAGTGCAGAGTGGTCAGTGCTGTGTTAGGGGCAGCCCGGGGGCCTGGGGGAGCGCAGAGGAGACCCCTAGGCCAGCTTGGTGGAGTTGGTAAAGATACCTGGAGAGAGTGAGGCCCCAGAGGAGACCTATAGGTCCACCGTGGCTGGACCACCGTGGCTCAGGTTCTGTGACATCCCTGCCGGCAGGGATGGTACCATCAAGCTCGCTTGTGTCCTTGCCTTCCCTTCACCAGGAGACTATGTTGGGGATTTCCTCTGATGGTCCAGCCAGCTCCTGCACCCATCCCCAGCACCTGGCCCCCAGGCAATGCTCCTGGACAGATAGATGAGGAAGGGGCCTAGGGAGGCGTCAAGTGCAGGCTGAGGAGGGAGGCAGGGAGTCCTCCTTGGGGTCCAGTGGGTACACAGCTGAGGTGGAAGTCCTGTCTGAGGGACGGCTCCGGGGATGGAGAGGCTTCAGGGGCCATTTGGCACCAGGGGGTGATGTGATGGCTTGGGCTTGGGTTGCGGATGGGAACTGACCTGGGCGTTGAAGGTGGGGCCCAGCCTGGAGAGGGCAGGAAAGGCAGGGGGAGGAAGGAAGGCCGCAGGTAGGGCAGGGGTCTCCTGGGAGAGTAGCCACTGGGGCTTTACAGGGGACACTGAGGGGGTTTGAGCGTTGGGACTGTCCTGGGAGCCGGGGCGTGGAGAAGGAGGAGCCAGGTGCCTCTGCATGTGCTTGTGTGCACACCCGTGTGTCATTGTATTGCTGGTTCCCCACGCTCTTATCTACCAGATAGATGGCTCCCTTCCGAAGGCCCCTGTCCTTTTCGGGTAAGGTGTCCATACTGGGGCCCTGCCTTAAGTCGGAATGAGGAGGGGGCTGCAGCCTCACCATCGCCCCTCCCTTATTAGCTGAGATTGAGAAACCTGGGGCAGCATGCGGATCTGGGCCCCGGGGCTGCAGCCTCATCCATTCTTCGCTGCACTGCAGGGAGCTGCGGGAAGGCCCGGAATAAAGGTGGCGCCTCTTACTGAAACTAAACAAAACCCTACTGGGGTCAGTTCACTGCCCCTGTCTCAGCCTGTCCAGAATCCCGGTGCTGGACCCATGTAAGCTGGCCACGGGGGAGAGGGATGGGGGCGGGGGGGGCACGGGGAGAAGCGACCAGGGGGCATGTTCCTCCCAAGCTGGCCCCACAACCTCAGTCCTGGCCTCACTGGGCAGCCTCACCCGCTGCGGGAGGCCCCGATTCCTCCTCCCGCTGGCTGTGGGGCTGAATCTCGGCCTGATGCGTGGGCCGACGCTGGAGCCCACTGGGTTCCGGAGGAAGTGCTGGGTCTTGTGCTCTGGCCCCACGTGAACTGGAGGTGGGCTTCATGCAGCTGGTGGGGGGCAGCTGGGCCTGGAGGATGGGTGGAGATAGGGTGGAAACCACGATCCCAGCCTGGGCAAGGGCGGGCCTGGACTTTTCCCCCCACTTCCACTGCCAACAAAGGCCCCGCCAGGAGAAGAGGGCGTGTTTGTTCAGCTCTGAGACCGAGGGGGCAGGAAGCAGAATTTCAAAGCGATCTCACCCTTTGTTACCCCTTCCCAGCCCCCCCCACCACGCCCCAGGCTGCATTCCAGAACCTGAGGGGGTCCTGCCCCGGGAGAAATCCGCTTAACCAGAGGCTCAGGTTACAGCGTAGCTGCTCCCGCGGAGCCGGGCCCTTCCCAGCCTGACATGGAACATTCTGGAAGGCTGGTCTCCAGGTCCACCCCATCCCCACCCTGGGACCCCCTCCAGGCCCTGGGGCCTTGAGAAGGAGGAGCTGGGAGGAGAGGAGAGAGGCGGGGAGGACCCGCGTCCTCACGGACACACTGGGTTCAGGTGGCTTCTTTTTTTTTTCCACTGGGGGAGCCCGGACTCGGTTTCTGCCCTGAGTGGTGACCTCAGACTCAGCCGGCAGGGTGACTCCTGATTTGGCTGAGGTGGGCTGGGGTGAGGTGGGGGTCTCTCCTTCCAAACAGGGCAAACTATACTTATCTTCCTTTCAGGACTTTCTCAAGGTATACTTTACGCAAGATAAAGCGCTCTCGTGTTACGGGCACAGCGCTGTGATTTCTTACATTTGTGTCACTGTGTGATCACCACCCTGAGCAAGAGTCCCAGCAGCCCTGCCACTCGGGAGGTTCCCGTCATGCTCCACCCGGACAGACCCGCTAGCCTGACCTCCATCACCCTGGACCGTTGTGCCTCTACACACAAGTGCAGTCACAGCACCTTCCCTCTTGTGCCTGGCACTTTCACTCAGCATAATTTGGGGATTCAGCCATGGCACCGAGTGCATCAGGACGTGTCCTTTTTCATTGCTTAGTTTAACTCCACTGTTTATTTATCCCTTCTCCTGTCAGTGGCCATGCCAGTCATTTCTGATCTCTGATGTGTGAGGCTGTGAACATCGAGTACCTGTCCTTTTGTGGAGAGGGAGGGATCTGATGTGACACTTTTGTTTATCCTGATTCCCAACTAGGAGCGTACAGAGACACAGGGCCTATGCACATGCTGTTCCCTCTGCCCAGATGCTCTGCTCCCTGCCCTTCCTAGGGAGCCCTTGCTGACCCCGTGGTCTAATGATGTCTGCCAGATTCTGTCCTTTGGTTTTGTTGTCTTTGTGGCATTTACTGCCATTTGTAGCCATCTTATCCCTGTACTTGTTTCTTGGGTGTCAGGCCCCTACCCACAGGTTTCTGTTCTCTGAAGGCAGCCACTTCTGCCTCAGGTCTCCCAGTGCCCAGCACAGGGCCTGGCATGAGGTGGTGTCAGTCAAACCTTTGTGGGTGTGTCTGTAGGCCCTGGGAGGTGAGGACCCTGTTGGGCTCAGAAGGATAGCCTCTCCCGGGAAGGTTTCCTGCCACCATGACCTCTGACCCAGGAGGCCAGCTAAGAAGGGGTGGGAGCCAAGGAGGGGTGGGAGATCTGTGTGCTACACTCATACCTTCCTTATCTTTTGGCTAATGGTTTGTCAACAGTGTTGGGCTTCCAGGAGAGGGGAAGATGGGGGCAGAGTCCAGCCTTGCTCCAACTCCTTCCTCAGCCTGAGATGCTCAGCAGTCATCTGTTTTACCAACACAGGTGTTACAAAGTCTCCTTACTAAAAAGGGAGGTTTGGAAACTACAGCTGTAGGCAATGGGGAGCCATAGAGGGTTAGGGAGAGGAGTGCCATGGAGGATGCCAGCAGCGACCATCTCTCCCAGGTTGGTAGAAAGAAGGGCTGGACTCGATCATTTTGCCATCAGCCTTCTGTGGGCTGAGAACCGGCCACACTTATTTGGAAGGTAGCTTTAGGCCTGGGAGCAGAGTTGGGGGAGACCCAAAGGTCTTCAGAGCTGGGTGAGTTTAGCGCTTGAGAGCAGCAAGTTGAGATTACACAGCAGGAGCAGCAGACTTGCTTTGAACTGGGAAACAGTACAAGTCCCCACGAAAGACATTTAGACACTGTGCCTTCCAACAGGATGCAGGGACCCTGGTCCCGAGCTCTGGGGCTCCCTGGTGTTGAGTCCCATTGGCTGAAGGACAGAGGCCAATCACCCATCTGGTTAGAGACAGGGACAGGTGAGAAGCAGGGATCCTGAATCCAAGGCAGAGCTGGCTCCTCTCACACCGCCCTTCCCCAAACCCATCCCTTCCAGCCCCCAAGAGCTAGGCTGCTGAGTTCTCCCTCCTCAGACTCCTCTGTTTACCCGCTGGCAGGAGGCCCAGGGTGGTGCCTCAGGAGAGGCAGGGAGGCTGTGGAGGGGCGCTGCATTCCTGTCTGGCATTTGGCAGGGCTGGCCTGCTTCTGCAGGAGGGGGACAGGGCGGGGGGACCAGACAGCCAGCCGGCACCTGCCCGGACCCCGTCTCACTGCCAGAATTTCTGGGGGTGCAGAAGAGTCAGCGACATCATGGACACATTCAAGTTTACTGAGCCAGGAGTAACTTGGGAACACCTGGTGGTTAGGATAGGACCCGGCCTGCCCTGGGAGGCCCCCAGCCCCGGGGGAAGCCACAGTCTGGTGCTATGATAAGGGACACTGGCCGTGTGGGTGCACCAATGATGGAAAGAAGAAGGGAACCAGAAATCAGAGGAGGGCAGGGGGCCCAAGCTGGCCCAGGCCAGGCCCAGCACATGCATGGCTTTGGGGCTGAGCTGCAGGTCAGGCTGGCCGTAGAGGGGGTGAGTTACACAGGACTGGGTCCTCAGGGCCCCAAAGAGGCTGCCATGAGCCGAAGCTGATTCTCATCAGCGTTCTCCTGTGTAGATTAAGCTGTGGTCACCTTCCTGTTCCAATGCAGAGTTTCTTTCTCACAGTTCAGTGTGCAGCCGTCATGCGGGGTGGGGGAGGGAGAGGGGGAGGAAGAGCTTGCTTAATGCAGAGAGGGGAGGTGAGCAAGGAGGCGTCACCACAGATCTTTTAGCAAAAGATGCAGGCTACTCCTCACCGCCATTCGCAGCAACAAAAAATCCTGTCTAATTTTCGCCCAGTTGTAAAAACCACTTATATAGAAACACTTCATTTAATCCAGGGACAGCTCTGATCACCCTGAGTGCTTTCTGGGTGCAGAGACCTCTACTAAACACTCTATGCCCTTGACCTCACTGGACTGCAACCTTGTAAAAGGCGTGCGTTTATTATTCTTGCACACTGAGAGGGAAACTGAGGCCCAGAGAAGGTAAGTGAACGCCCATGTCACCCTGCTGGGAGAGGCAGAGACAGGATTAGAACTCAGACTTCCTGGTCCTGCCACCCACTGCTACCTCCACAGGGGGCCTGCTCACCAATCCTCAGGAAGGAGGTGGCAGGGGCAGGAGACAAAAGGGGAAAGTGTGGGAAGAAGGCCCGGATTCCAGGGCCTGCTCCACCTAATCCTAGTGGGGTGACCCCAGGCAAGAAGGAATTTCACTTTTCTGAGCCTCAGTTTCCTAGTCTGTAAAATGGGCACAGTAGTGGTGTCCACCTCACAAGGCCATTGTAAGGATGGCAGAATATTTTTGTGGACTGTTTCCTCTGTCTGGGAAGTTCCTGCCTTGCTCTTTAAATGACCGGCTCCTTCTTGAACTTTACATCTCATCTTGAATTAACCCTCCTCCAGGAAGCCCTCCCTGACCATCCCTATCCAGAATAGCTACCACTCACCTCTTGCCTTGCACACTGATTGCTCTCTCTCTTATTACCTTGCTTATTTCATCCCCACCCCTTGTCACCAGCTATGACATTCATTAATTCATTTGTCTGTTGTCTCCTCTCCACCAGACTATGAGCTCCATGAGGGCTCGGAGCCCCTCCAGTGGTCTATCGCCAGCATCTGGCAGGCTGCCTGGCAAGAGGAGGGGCTCAGCAGACACTTGTTGAAGTGGCGGGCGAATGAGCCAGTGAAAGAGGACACATGTAAAATGCTCACCTCAGTTAGTGCCTGCTACAGAGCAGTGGCTCAGAGAATGCTGGCAAATGTCCTTACTACAAAACAAACCCAGATCCAAATTTCGAGCCTGTCTACATAGGACACCTTTGGATCAGTCACTCCTCCAGCTCTACTGCCTTCAAGGGAGCACAGGGTGGGGCCATAGTCTTCCTCAGCCCCCAGCATACTTTGAGTGCTGTTTATAGTGGTTGTGGGAACAGAACGGGGACAGGCAGCGCTGGTATGGGGGTGCTAGGGGTGAGGAGGCTGGGGTGCAGGCTGAGTAGAAGCCAGGGTACCTGTGAAGTCCTCAGAGACCCCCCCTGCCCCAGCCCAAGTTGGGCTGGCTCCTCTGTCATTCCCACTCAACCTCTCCCCAGTTCCTTCCTAGCCCCAGAGCGCCTGTAATGACATTCATTTGTAGTTTGTCTAATGTGAGGGTCTTTCTCTAGAATTCATGGCTGCACTCCCAGGACTTAGCACGCACCCGGCACATAGTAGGTCTCAATAAATATTGGTTGAATAGATTAATTAAAAAGATGCATGGGAAGCATCTCAAGAGCTGTGGCTTTTTACTTTTCTGAATCACTGGTTTCTCCGAAAAACCCACAAAACCTTTGACACCCCTCCCTCCCATCATGCATCCAAAGCGGGACATATAATTTCAGGGATTTCATGGACCCCTTCCATCCCAAGGTCATTCATAAAGCTCAGCTTAAGATCTTTCTGTCTGGGGCAGGGGC